AGACGGTGGAGTACTCAACAGTAGGACAGGATCTTTCAGTAAGACGGTGGAGTACTCAACAGTAGGACAGGATCTTTCAGTAAGACGGTGGAGTACTCAACAGTAGGACAGGATCTTTCAGTAAGACGGTGGAGTACTCAACAGTAGGACAGGATCTTTCAGTAAGACGGTGGAGTACTCAACAGTAGGACATGATCTTTCAGTAAGACGGTGGAGTACTCAACAGTAGGACAGGATCTTTCAGTAAGACGGTGGAGTACTCAACAGTAGGACTCACCATAACGCCGTAACACTGCAGAGCTATTTTCTAAGACTCGGAGTCACATGACGTAGACTTATCTTATTTCGATAAGAGCAAATTATTGGCATCTATTAAATCTGAGACTGCCTATAAAATACATATTTTTAGAACCCTTGTAGTAGCGAGCTGATTCCGTTGTGACTCATTGGGTCCTTAGCATCTCGTTGAACTCTGTCACGTGCTTTCTGTCACACTCAGACAACTGCAACTGGTGCTTTCAACAGTAGGAAATATACATCTTTAACTGTGCGAACGTGCCGTGCGCCACACAACGTAGCCATTGTGATACGCTCATAGCACAGCTATTGAAATATAGTGATAACACAGCTATGGTGATACGTTAATAACATTTCGATTGTGATAAATTAATAACAGCTATTGTGTGTGGTGAGTAGAGTAATATGGTGCTCCAGTAGCAAATATCACCTGTAGCGTATATTATATAACATCATATATGCATCATATATAACATCATATATAAAAATCATATATAACATGATATATATATCATCAGATCAGTGGCGTATAAAGTGGGCATATAGAGGCGGCGGTCCGTTTAGGGGGCTCATTGTCTTTACTTTGATGGATACAATTGTTGGCCAACAGCTAAGCGACACTTCCCACAGCTACGCCACTGTGTAACATATATAAATGTAACACAGATGTGTTGAGGTTGTAGCACACATATGACAAGGCTGTATATATCAGGGTGGCAACACGACCATCACAACATGACCATCACAACATGACCCTCACAACATGACCATCACAACATGACCATCACAACAAGACCCTCACAACATGAACCTCACATCACATTTATCACAACATGACCATCACAACATGACCATCACAACATGAACCTCACAACATCACCCTCACAACACAATTATCACAACATGAACATCACAACATGACCATCACAACATGACCCTCACAACATGACCCTCACAACATGACCCTCACAACACAATTATCACAACATGACCATCACAACATGACCCTCACAACATGACCCTCACAACACAATTATCACAACATGACCATCACAACATGACCCTCACAACATGACCCTCACAACATGACCCTCACAACATGACCATCACAACATGACCCTCACAACACGACCCTCACAACATGACCCTCACAACATGACCATCACAACATGACCCTCACAACACGACCCTCATATCACATTTATCACAACATGACCCTCACAACATGACCCTCACAACTTACTACAAGTAAAGGGAATAATAATAAGAGGAAGTGATATTATGCCTAAATATATCTCTAGCTTTAGTTTATCTTTATCAACATAACCAGTTGAATTATTTTGTTTTTCTAGTACCAATGTTACTCAACCCAGCTTTCCATGGCTTGAATTAATATTACAATCAAAATTTTATATTTTGTTTTCTAAATTTGGTTCATATTTTACTTAAACAGGTTTCTTGAAGACTTCTACAGCAGTCATTGTTTTACCATAAACCTCTAGGAACTATTTTCTTCCCAGTGATATGATCGCTTAAATGACTAGAAGGCCGTACACAAACGTTTCAATGGATCAACAAGAGAATATCGTCATCAGCTTCGTGTCACGTGACTAAATCATCATGGAAAGGCTGGTTCAAGGGTATTTTCGGATCCCCGAATCGAGGTCAATTATTTCTGTGGATGATCGACGCAGAGGGTGCCATGTGTATATTGAATCAATGAGTCAACAGCTGCTGGTGCAGCAGGCGATTCGTTCCAGACCAAACCCCAACAATGTGTCCGCCTTTTGTAACCCCCTACCCGTTCGTACCACGTCGGGCCAGAGCTCACCTGGTTTGTCGCATGCAGTACACCATCACCGTGATCGACCCCACTATTCCGCTGCACCGGCGACGACTCCTTTGTTACCCAATCATGGCCAAACCGCAACTCACGATGAAACGGGATTTCCCTATTTTCCCCACAGTGGGATCCAAAAGACGCGGTGCGCACTCAAGATTCCTCAAACTCGAATCTCATTATCTGAGTGTTATTGTCGTGATGTGAAAGATGGCATTCACGATTTACATGAGCCGTCCTGCCCCACGCATGGCTTAACTCTGGAAGACGGTCCCTCACTCACCCAGTGTCCGATCTTGGCAACGCATGACGCGTTCACCAACAGTGACATCAAAAGCCAAAATGTAAAAAGCCAGAAGTATCTTAAGGGCTCTCAGTTTTTCCCCCACAATGTCCAGTCTGTCCATTGCGAGGCTGAACCATTCCAGGCATCAACCAGTGTTGCAGAACACACATGCACAAAAGCTCAACCAGCATCAGGCCGTGCTCACCTTAACTTGAGCGAGGAATACCAAAGGCAATCAAATTGGCTCTGTCAACAAGCGGAGATGGTGCGGTCAAGGGTTTGTCCAAACATCATGCAAGATCTTAGATCAAAGCTAAAATCCTCTTTGATGTCTGGAAAGGTCATCCAAGTTTGTGGGCCGCCTATGGCGGGAAAGTCAAATTTAGTGGATCAGGTAACTGCCGTGGTTCTAGACACGTTGATTTTTAGGGTTCAACAGGTATACAAACACAGGTGTACATTGTACACACACAGGGGTCAAACACAGGGGTCAAACACAGGTATGCAAACGCAGGGGTCAAACACAAGTGGGGAACCAGTGGTGTGCATACACAGCAAACATGTACAAACACAGGTGTACGAACACGTGTGTACAAACACAGGTATGCACAAACAGGTGTACAAACAAAAGAATGCAAATGCAGGTAAATGCAGCGATTTTACCTTGGTTGTGTTTGCAGTAAGACAAGTTTAGTCAAATCTATGACATTTTATTTCTTATCTTATTCTAATGAAATTATTATATGACTGTTATATTATTTCCTCCCCATCCCCTCTCCATTTCCTGTCCATTTCCTCTCTATAACGAGACGTCATTTAAGTAAGTCCGTACTTATTTTTTTTTTTTGCTATATCCATTTTTGTTGTTTTATCAAATGTTTGAACCAAAAAATTTATTTTACCAGTTTAATGCCATTGGATTGTCTTTCAAATTGTTCAAAAAATTCATAGTCTTTTATATTTGTTTTAAATTTCAAAATTATATCCAAGGTTATCCAAGAATTGCAAACGACACAGCCCAATGGTCATCTCGATGGCCTTATTTACCATTCGTTTAGCTGTAAGCGACTGTCGAGACTGGATGCCGTCCTCGAAAAAGTGATCACAACTCTACAGCCGAGTGGGACTTGGTCTCCTCAAGCATCCACTGAAACACGTGTGTTGTATGAAGTCCAGAAATGCCTGGTTCGTTTTAGCACATACCATCATGTTTTCGGCTTCCATAAGTGTGAGAGCTTGAGGAGCTCTGGAGCTGATCTTGAATTTGTGTCGTTTTTGTCGAAGTTGGACAAACTTGGGTGGTCGGAGAATGTCGCATGCAGTGTCGTGTTCACAACCTATAAAAAGTTCTCCAACTCAGGTTTAAGCACGGAGATGGTCCAGGTTGGTTTCTTGACGGACCCTATTGACATCAAGTCCCTACTGGAGCTCCACGCCCCTGGAGTTGACGTCATAGATTACATAGGGATCTGTCAAAAGTTATTGTGTGTTCCGGAAGCCGTGATTAGATTTGCGGAGGAATATCTGGTAGATGACGTCACCAGATGTAGTCCTCAACAGTTAGAGAAGCGTGTTTGCGTGGACACAGAGTTTCTGTCTATGATATTTGAGAAGAGAGTTACCGATGTAGCCGGCTGGCTGTCTAAGTCTGACCTAGAACTCCTCGTCTACTTCGGCAATTCTATTAATAGCACTTTTACTGAACGTAAGTGTATTTATAGTTGTTTTTCATTTTGAGGGAACCTAAATTAAAAATTATGTATAAAATATATCCCATTATATATCCATTTACATATTTAATAAATTACCCATCACATTGTTTTTTTTTTAAACGTATGATGAAATTTTAAAAATTATTTTTTAAAACTTTCTTCGTTTAGAAAATCTGATCGAGTTTCTAAGACGTCAAATAAGTGTGTACCACTTTGACCAATGGGTCGCCCTGTTACTTCGACGTCTGCGCGAGAACCACGTGCTACGACCTGTTCCGGGAAAACGATTAGCTGTCCACCCGCTGCTGGTGTACTACGTCATGACGTGTCGTAGTGTGAGCGGAAGGACAATAAATGACAACTCTTGTAACAGGTAGATTAGATAATAAAGTGTAAGTTTTGTAACAGATAGATTGGAGTGTACTTCACCAGGATTTATATTTCTAATAAAGTATAATCTGCTATGAACAGTAAATATACCCTATACCGCAGGTTTCCAAACTATTTCAAGCAGTTTTTTTAGAAATTTTCCCACCCGAGGGGCACTTCAGATTTTCGGGGAGGGGGGCAGTGCCAGCAGTTCCAGTTGATTTACTGTTGGATACATTTTTGCTCCGGGGGGCACTTGGCTTTCCCCGGGGGGCAGTCCCCCCCCCCCCGAGATATAGCTGAAAGAAACCCTGATTTCAAGCCATGAGGCTATTTTAAAATAAAATGTTAAAAAGATTTGTCAGTGGAGCTCAAGGAAACTTACTAAACACACGGGGATTGTTTCAGTAGAACATCATTTAATGTACTCAAGGAAACTCACTAAACACACGGGGATTGTTTCAGTAGAACATCATTTAATGTACTCAAGGAAACTCACTAAACACACGGGGATTGTTTCAGTAGAACATCATTTAATGTACTCAAGGAAACTCACTAAACACACGGGGATTGTTTCAGTACAACATCATTTAATGTACTTTAAACTTATGACTTTTGAGACGATAACTGAAATTACGGCTCGTTGACTTGACACGCTTCAAGATATCTGGTTGAATTTGTATTAATGCTATCCTCGTGTCATTCTCAACATGTCATGTGTTCCTTGGTTTGGTTCTCAAATAAAGATGGGTTCAAAAACACAGCCTAACAGAAGATATGTGTAGAATAGAGATGTTTAGAATAGAGGATTGTAATGCAGAGTTTTATTAAACAGAGATGTGTTGAACAGAGATTTGTAGAACGGAGATGTGTAGAACAGAGATGTGAAGAACATAGATGTTTAGAACAGACATGTGTAAAACAAAAATGTGTAGAACAGAGATATGTAAAACAAAGATGTGTAGAACAGAGATGTGTAGAACAGAGGTGTTTAGAGCCGAGATGTGTATAGCAATAAAAGAGATGAGTAGAGCAGAGATGTGTAGAGCAGAGATGTGTAGAGCAGAGATGTGTAGGACAGCGAAGTGTAGAAGAGATTGTGTAGAACAGAGGTGTTTAGAGCCGAGATGTGTATAGCAATAAAAGAGATGAGTAGAGCAGAGATGTGTAGAGCAGAGATGCGTAGAGCAGAGATGTGTAGGACAGCGAAGTGTAGAAGAGATTGTGTAGAACAGAGATGTGTAGAAAAGAGATGTGTAAAACAAAGATGTATAGAACAAAGATGTGTAAAACAAAGATGTATAGAACAAAGATGTGTAAAACAAAGATATGTAGAACAGAGATGTGAAGAACAGAGATGTGTATAGCAATAGCAGAGATAAGTAGAGCAAAGATGTGTAGAGCACAGATGTGTAGAACAGAGATGTGTAGAATAAAGATGTGTAGAACAGAGATGTGTAGAACTGAGATGTGAAGAAGTAAGTGAGAGATTTTTGAGATCGCTAAAGTTTTAAGAGACTGATTCAAATTTTAAAATTTTAAAATATCAACAAAAAATTTTAAAAACAAAACAAAAAAAAAAAAAAAAAAAAAAAAAAAAAAAAAAAAAAAAAATATAAAAAAAAAAAAAAAAAAAAAAAAAAAAAAAAAAAAAAAAAAAAAAAAAAAAAAAAAAAAAAAAAAAAAAAAAAAAAAAAAAAAAAAAAAGAAAAAAAAAATTTCTATCAAGGACGAATCAAAATACAATAAAAAATTTAAAATGATATAATTTGTTTAATGCATTACACATTACACAAAGAAAGACGATTCAGAAGTGTAGATGAGCACTTTATGTGGACCAAGGATTTGAATTGAATGTAGATGAAACTTAAATATATATTTTTTTATGAATTTTTTAAAATATTTCCTGAAACAGACTTTTTTGCGTGATGCATTGTAAAAAATGAGTTCATGTTTTTTACTTTTAAGTTGCGTTTCAAATTGTCTTTGATAGAAGTTTTTTTGTTTTTTTAAAGAGATTTTTTCCCCTTCTTTTTTTTGTTATTAAAATTGTAATCTTTAAACTATCGACAACAAAATAATTATTATATTTTTTTTAAACAACCAATGCTTACAAAAGCGTTGTTAAAGGGGCTGAACTCTTAAACTATTGATTTAAAAAAAAAAGAATATAACGGCTGTGGCGTTTGATGGCCTTGGTCACGTGCCGTCTGTTGATCCGAGCCTCAATGACGTATTCCCGGCCCCTGCTTTCTTCCGAACCAACGCTCCCCAAAAATCCCGCCGCTCTGAAATGAACTCCCACAGCCGCCCTTCTATGAACTCGCACAGCCGCCCTTCTATGAACTCCCACAGCCGCCCTTCTATGAACTCCCACAGCCGCCCTTCTGTGAACTCCCACAGCCGCCCTTCTATGAACTCCCACAGCCGCCCTTCTATGAAGTCCCACAGCCACCCTTCTATGAAGTCCCACAGCCGCCCTTCTATGAACTCCCACAGCCGCCCTCCTATCAACTCCCACAGCCGCCCTTCTACGAACCCCCACAGCCGCCCTCTCCCACATCCGCCCTTCTATGAACTCCCACAGCCGCCCTTCTATGCACTCCCACAGCCGCCCTTCTATGAACTCCCACAGCCGCCCTTCTATGAACTCCCACAGCCGCCCTTCTATGAACTCCCACAGCCGCCCTTCTATGAACTCCCACAGCCGCCCTTCTTTGAACGTGGCAGACGGCATTCACCGCGATCCACCTTGAACACTACAACATTTTGAACAACCTAAATCACGGTTTCCGCTCCGGATTCTCAATGGAAACATTACCAGAACCAGAACCAGAACCAGGCGAGAGGGTCACTTGTGGCAAAAACAACAATTTTGTTGCAAAGTTACAAACTTACAAACTCCATGGATTTGTCAGTAGAAAGATGGTCTTTAAATATCTCTATCCCAATACTTTTTTAATACTCATTTATTTTTATACGTTTTTTTATGAGCTTGCTTTGTCATTTTGTTTGCAGGGTAATCTCACATCTCATGACGACCCACTTCCTGATGTCGAATTGAGATAAAAACATTTACCCACCCAATAACAATAAAACCTTTCATGATCAGCAGGTCCCCACTGACCTACATCATGTTTGGGCGACACACGCTCTGAACGAATCTTGTCTTTGTTTTTTTGTTGTTGCTGGCATCCGTCTCAGATTGTCTCAGTTCAGACCACTCGGACACCCAGCACTTGTCTCATCTAACAAGACTGCAAAGTATCGATAACTTTTTTAAAACTTAAAAATACAATTACATGAAAGAATGTCATATGACATGACAGATACAATGTTGTACACATGTTGGATGCGTCTACATTGGTGCAATAAGTTTTATGCGACACAATTGTTATGTTACAAATTATTTAATCATGGCAATATGAGTTCTCACAACTGCCTTTCATTACTGTTGTAGTGTTCACGTCGATCGTGATCTTGACAAATGGAATGAAGTAGCGATACCGCTGCGAACATGTCTTTGCGATTTCCAAAGCACATTTAGTTCATTGGCGCCCAAGCTTTTTAGTAATATGACTCTAACAACTCTAAAGTTTGGGAGAAATTTATTCTAAACTTTTAAGTTCATTTTTAGAAAAGCGTGGTTTATTTTTTTTCAATTTAAAGTTTTTAAAAAATAAATACTTAGTTCACTATTTAAGCCGGTGACTGACCACACAGAAAACCATTAATGACCTTGAACTGTTGACCTTCTACTAGATTTCTCATCAATCACTTTGACAATTATTTCGATCACTCACCATCTCCTACTTTCAGTTTCACCGTCTTCGTGTGTCATGTACTGAGGAAGGCTGAAAAGAACATCCGACTCCACGGTAAGAAAGGTCTAGTGTACGGATGCCTGGCCCAGGAATGGCCCCATGTCCGGCACGTGTTAGAACTGGCCATCAACTGTACATCAGGGACGTATCACGCGTTCTTAAAGGTAGTTTGTGATCGATCTGTTTGAAGGGTCTGTGGTGGATGGTTGTCGTGTGAGAGTTTGATGGTTGTTGTGTGAGAGTTTGATGGTTGTTGTGTGAGAGTTTGATGGTTATTGTGTGAGAGTTTGATGGTTGTCGTGTGAGAGTTTGATGGTTGTTGTGTGAGAGTTTGATGGTTGTTGTGTGAGAGTTTGATGGTTGTTGTGTGAGAGTTTGATGGTTGTTGTGTGAGAGTTTGATGGTTGTTGTGTGAGAGTTTGATGGTTGTCGTGTGAGAGTTTGATGGTTGTCGTGTGAGAGTTTGATGGTTGTTGTGTGAGAGTTTGATGGTTGTTGTGTGAGAGTTTGATGGTTGTTGTGTGAGAGTTTGATGGTTGTTGTGTGAGAGTTTGATGGTTGTTGTGTGAGAGTTTGATGGTTGTTGTGTGAGAGTTTGATGGTTGTTGTGTGAGAGTTTGATGGTTGTTGTGTGAGAGTTTGATGGTTGTTGTGTGAGAGTTTGATGGTTGTTGTGTGAGAGTTTGATGGTTGTCGTGTGAGAGTTTGATGGTTGTCGTGTGAGAGTTTGATGGTTGTTGTGTGAGAGTTTGATGGTTGTTGTGTGAGAGTTTGATGGTTGTTGTGTGAGAGTTTGATGGTTGTTGTGTGAGAGTTTGATGGNGAGAAAGGTGGAGGATGGGGGGGGGGGGGGGGGGGGGGGGGGGGTTGGTCGAAGAGGGTGGGTGGGGAGAGGAGATGATGGGTTGGAATTAAGGACAGGGGAGGGTAAAAAGTTTATAAGGTGATAAAAACTGGAGCAAGAGACGATAAGAGTCAGCTCCGGATCCTCTAGTGGAGATATTCTCTTAGACAGGGGCGTAGGGGAACGAAAGGAAGGGGAGGGGTCCACCCTGTGCGGCATTTTTATTCTTTAGATCGAGGGACCGCATTTTCGTCCAATGCAGAATTTTTTTCGCGGGAGGGGTATGGCTAAAAGTTAGGCCCGCCCTTGGGTGGCACAATCCTAGCTACGTCACTGCTTG